AGCCTCGCCAGGATCTGCTGCCCTTCCGATCCTAGCGGGGCACCTGTCGGAAGATACACACTGCCAGCAATGAATCCTCCAGGGACGAAGGCGTTGACCCAAGTAAGGACCACCCTGGAAGGAGCGAGCAGGGGGCGGTGCTTGGGCGGTTTTCCCATGCCGATGTGGGACAAGGCGGCCACCCCGACTCCAGAACTCAGACCCCCTTCCTCAGTGATGAGGGAGGGGTGGAGACAGGCATTCCAGCCCTGCTTTTTGACATTTGCTTCCCCTTCGGTCCTGTCCTTGGAGTCCAAAGCAATTTCTTGCAACAGAACCACAGAAGCGTCGGTCTCTTGGTCGAGATAACGCCTCATAGACCTCCATGAAGTGGTATTAGCCGTCTCAATTTTGAACCTCACCTTGCTTCGACACTTCTTCCCAGGCCGCTTGGAATCGGCTACAGGCTGGAAAATTGGTGTGGGGAGGGGGTCCAAAATTGGTCCAGTCCGAATTTCACTGCTAGTCTCGACGCGAGGCTCATGTGCCTCATCAGAGGACCCCTTGCCCAAGACAGGACACGTAGAGGCCTCGCGGAGACCAAGAGGGGGCTCCCAGGGGGCTCCACCAGAGTACCGCCAAGGGCCCGAGACATTACGAAGGTACTGAGCGATCCCACCAGAGATACCATGCCTCAATCTCCAACGCCCCGCAACACGCAGGAACTCGAGGGAGTGAGGCTCAAAATTATCCGCTGGTGGGCTAGCTACGCGAGAGCTTGCAGGAAGCGCCGCCTGGGGGTCGCCAACTCCCTGCGCGCCATTATTACTAAAGTTACTGATACCCTTGCGCTGCTGGGCGGAGGGACGCGGGGAGTGGTCATCTCCGTGGTCGCCGTCCCCCTCCCTGACACAAGCTGGGGGGCCGCCCAGCAGAGAGTCGAGGATTGCATTCCATTCGTTACCAGCCTGCCGACGGCAGTCTGCCAGCACCTGCTGGTCCACAACCCCATCGTAGGCCTCGGCTCCTAGGACGGGCGTGTCAGCAGGCTGTGAAACTAGATCGGATACTTCTCCCCCCCACGGGTGCTCAGGCACCCGCAGGGGGGCCTGCCTGAGACCCAGCTGCACCCGGGCTGCCTCCAGCAGGCCCCAGTGCAACCGCGGCGCGCTGGCGCACCCCTGGGCTTCCACGGCCTGCAGCTGGAGCTGGCTTGTCCGACGTAGGGCCCGAGCTGGGCTCCCCAGGAGCCTGGGCCTCAGTGGGCCCTCCCGCGGCGGTCCCTGGGTCCACGTTCTTTGCCTCTCCAGCTGGCGGGGCGGCCGCAGGCGCAGGCGCAGGCGGGGGCTCACGCACACCTGTGGCTTCACGAGCACCACCTCCAGCCTCTTCACCTGGGGGAGCCACTCGAGGCCGCTTGCGAGCCAATCTTTCAAGGTGCTCCTGATGTTCGGTCTTGATCTTGTTGATGTCGGCCAGCGCCTTGGAGAACAACTCCTGAGTGATGCCTTGCACCTGAGCGCTGAGGGCATCTTTACGTTCTTTGAGCTGCCTCTCGTCTTCGTCCGTGAGCTGGTACTCCTCAACGTTGAAGAACTCGTCCAAGTCAAACATGTCTCCGACCGCCGCTGTGCCGTCAACGACCTTGGAGATAGGCACCTTAGCAGCAGGGGTTCCGACAGCAACTCCGCTCCATCCATCCATCCATCCATCCATCCATCCATCCATCCTCCTTCCTCCTCCTCCTCCTCCCTCCCTCCCTCCCTCCTCCTCCTCATTATCCTCATCCTCATCCTCCTTCTCCTCCTCCTCTTCTTCCCCTCCCTCCTCCTCCTCCTCCTCCTCATCCTCCTCTCCTCCTCCTCCTCCTCCTCCTCCTCCTCCTCCTCCTCCTCCTCCTCCTCCTTCTCCTCCTCCTCCAGCGCAGATCCGAGAAATCCGCGCGGAGCTCCGAATTTTTATGTTTATGCCGTTTTCGGCTCCTCTACACTCACTTATCCTCGCCCGCAGCCCGCGCACGTCCCCCCATCCCCCCCGTGCCAAACGCGCAGGCAGGGCACCGCCGCGGCGCCCTGGAGGACTTCCACGACGAGTGCTCCGGGGGATCTCCGCAACCTCCACTTCTGTCGCAGGACGCGCCTCCGGGACGTTGTACACTCCTCGTCCTAATTTTCATTTTCGGTACGATCAAAATGAGCGACGCAGATAAACAGGGTCGTTTTCACCGATATTGGCGCGTGAGCTGCCCGCGCAGTCGCGCGTAAGCGCCCTCGTTGCCGATATGGCGTGCTTCGTTGACGGCCCGCGTAAGCCCTATCTCATCTCGCGTAAGACCGGTTTCTGATCGTCGATGAAGTGCGTACGGAAAGAATGGGTACGATGACAGACAGCATTTCCTGATCATTTTGAGTTAGACTCGCTGTTGGTGTCGCCGCTGACGTTTGTTCATTTGAGGCAACAGGCCGCCTGCCCAACTGCTGCCGCCGTCAGTTTGGGACAACACGTGTTGTTGGGCATCGTACCTATTTGTTTCGTACCCGTTTCGCGCGTCCAAAGTCGTTTATTATTCTTCCTCCTCACCCTCACCCTCATCTTCCTCTTCACCCTCCTTCTCCTCCTCCTCGTCCTCCTCCTCGTCCTCGTCCTCCTCCTCCTGTTCCTCCTCCTCCTCATCCTTCTCCTCCTCCTCCTCCTCCTCCTCCTCCTCCTCCTCCTCCTCCTCCTCCTCCTCCTCCTCGCGTCCTCCTCTCCTCCTCCTCCTCCTCCTCCTCCTCCTCCTCCTCCTCCTCCTCCTCCTCCTCCTCCTCCTCCTCCTCCTCATCTCCCACGCCTCCGGGGTCTCATCTGCCCCATCAAGTCCTCAAAAGTCCGGGAAGCTGTGATGACGTCCCGGTTGCCCGAGCCTGGCTCCAAGTGATGACCCGCTCCCGAGCCCCGAGGTCCACGCGAACAGACAACCCAGGGACGCGAGGCCCGTGTGAAAGATGCGACCGAGGTTGGGGGGGAAAATCCGACATGCTTCTAAGAGACCAATGTCTGGGGCCTATGCCGAATCCCGCTGTCACTTTCTATAGCCACAAGCGTCTATAGACACATTGGGCGCTGCTGAATCAGCATGTATCTGATCTAATTCAATCGGTTTCCTTACTCATGGAAAATTGGCCTGACTCAACTACGGGTCTGTCTGGGGAGCCTCAGATGGCCCCGAGACGGCCTTAGAGGGCCCCAGGAGGCTTCAGGAGGACCCGATGAGCGCTCCAAGACGGCCACGATGGGCCCAAGACGGCCCAAGTCGGGCCCCGTAGCCAGTCTGGCTCTAGCCACTTCAAGAGACAGGCCACCCGCCCCGCACCCCTCGGACTCCGCGCACAACTGCGCGGGGGGGTGCCCTCCCACCAGAGGGCCGGGCAGAAGGATCCGACGGAGGGTGCCGCGCCGATGGCCGCACAGACCAGCATCGCCACTGCCAGCGTGGCCGGCCACTCCCTGCAGATCGACATCGTGTCGGATGACGACAAGGGCTGGATGGTCTTCGAGGTGGCAGCCCGCGACTTCGGCGCGGACGACCTCGTGCTCCACTGGGCGGTCGGCCGGCAGAGCGCCTCGGAGTGGCTCGTGCCCCTCGACGAGCAGGCGCGCACCAGCCCGGCGGCGCAGCGCGTGCCCGGCGCCATGCAGACGCCCTTCCCGCCCGAGGCCTCTGGCCACAGGAAGATCCGAGTGGAGATCAACTCCAGCGCTGGCCTCAAGGGGTTCCAGTTCGTCCTCCACCGCAAGCCCAACGACTGGCTCAAGTGCGGCAAGGACAACTTCGTCGTGGACTTCGACAGCGTGAGGCGGAGCGGCGTGTTCCGCGAGAGCGTGAAGGAGGCCTGCGAGGCGAGCCCGTCCGCGCAGCTGTCCCTGTGGAGGTGCAGCGGCATCGACGTCGCGGTGCTCGGGCAGCGCGGTGCCTCGGGCGCCTGCGAGGTCCAGGTCCTCGTGGACTCCACCAAGGACCTGGTGGTGCAGTACGGCCTCGCCGCGGGCGACCGCCGGTGGCGCTCCTCCACGCGGGCGGCCCTGGAGGCCACGGCAGGCGGCAGCCTCAAGCGGGGCGCGCTGACCCTGCCGCGCAGGCAGTCGGCGGACGCCAGGTTCCTGATGTTCGTGCTGCACGACCCGTCGGCCAACCAGTGGCTGAAGGACGGGAAGCAGGACTTCGCCTTCGAGCTGCCCCCCTTCAGCGGGGACGGCACGGAGCTCGACGACGAGCCGGAGGTGGTGCCAGTCGCGCAGGGCGTGCACGGGGCCGACGCCGAGAAGTTCGAGCCGCAGCCGCGCGCGATGCAGAGGTCCGAGTCCAAGAGGTTCAAGAGCGTCGTGGAGAAGGCGAGGCAGGAGGAGCCAGACGCCAAGGTGACGTCGTGGGTCGTGCCAGGGACGGAGATCGAGGTCGCAATATTGGCCACGGCCCTGGAGACCGAGCTGAACGTGCACGTGCTAGTACATTCAGACTGCGACCTCGTGCTCCAGTACGGCCCTGCCAGTGAGACCCGAGAGTGGAAGTCTTCCAAGCGCGTGTCTCTCAACAGAGTCGACAAGGGTCAGAGCGAGGGCACCTTCAACTTGCCTGCGGGAGAGGTAGACAAGTTCCTCATGTTCGTCTTGCACGATGGGTCGGTCAACCGCTGGCTGAAGGACGGCAACCGCGACTTCGAGCTTGAAGTGCCACGGCACCTCGAGTGGGACAGACTCAAGAAGGAGGCCGAGAAGGCTGCCGCGGCAGAGGCAGCAGTAGCCGCAAAGCACCGGGAATCCTTCTTGAAAGGCCGCCCTGGACGCCAAGCCAAGGCGGATGTGTCTTTCGACACGTTTGACCTCGAGCGCGACTGCGGTCATCTGGACGTCGCGTGCGCAGCGGCCGACGGCGGCGCTTCTGCAGACGTGCAGGTGCGCGCCTGGCTGAACCCACGGCTGGGGGAGACCATGCTGCACTTCGGCGTGCTGGCCAAACCGCAGTCTGGGCAGTGGTCGTGCCCAGAGGACTTCAAGGGCGTGAAGTGGCCCGCGGGCATCACCAAAGTGGACGGCAGGGCGTGCCAAGTTCCGCTGCAGAAGATGGACGAGCAGCTGTGGGGCCTGGACTTCTCCGTGCAGGCCAACATGGGGAAAGATGGAGGCAAAGACGTTTGCGTGCCAGTCATCGGAGGCATTGCTTTTGTGATGAAGACCGTGAGCGGGAGCGAGTGGTTCAAGCCATCCGATGGCGGAGACGCGATGGTCAGATTCTCTTCTCAGGGCCGCTGGAAGGGCGAATGGGCTGACGTCGCGGACAAGATCGTGAAGCTGGAGACGATGTCGAACCATATGTCGTTGAACAAGAGGTATTGCGACTGTATGGAGATCGTGAACAACTGGGAGAAGCAGACCGGGGGCCACCACATGCGCAGGTTTCGGGAGCCTTGAGACGGGGGTCAATGCAAATGGGGGTCAGCCACGGCACCGGATCCTGCAGGATCCTGCGAAGACCCCCTCTGTCGGGGGTGGACAGACCTCCTACCCTGACACGTCGATTAAGGAATTGGCCGTTTTCGGTTCGCGAGGGGGCGTCGCGGCCGTCATTTTTGCGGGTCCAGGTCCGCCAGTTTCGGTCCCAGGCCGTTTTCACTAAGGGGAGGTTTACTAAAGGGAGGTTTGTCCACCGCCGACTCTGGCTGACCCCGGTTAGCGAGCCGCTCGTGGCCGCGAGGCGGCCGCACATATTGGCTAACCCGGGTTTGCGAAGACTTGCGTTGCAGTTTTTTGTCCTGCACTGCAGTTTCTGGTTTCCTGCTGATCCGGGTCTGGATTGACCCAGGTTAGAAGATCCCCGAAGGTTGGCTTCCTGGAGCACCTTGATGCACGTCGACTCAAGGGAGGCAGTGTGGTCCCGCATGCCGTCCATGCCGCTGTGCGAGATCCCAGAAGAGGAGGTGATCAAGTCGAGCAAGGAGGGGTTCTGGAGCTGGATCTTCGTGTGGCAGCGCTTCTCCTTCCAGCAGCTGCTGACCTGGGAGAAGAACACGTGCACCCAGCCCAGGATCCTGGCCAGCACCACGAACGCCATCACGAGCCGGATGAGCGAGCTGTGGAAGGCGCACCCGCGCTGCCGCATGTGGATCCGCTGGACGCTCGCCACGATGGGGGCCGGAGGCAGCGCGGGACAGAAGATCCGCGACGACATCCTGGTCATCATGCACGCCCACAACATCAAGGAGATCCACGGCACGTATTACGAGCAGTGGCACCAGAAGCTCCACAACAACACCACCCCCGCGGACATCGGGATCTGCCGGGCCATCATCGCCTTCCTGAAGTCGAACGGCAACATGGCCGAGTACTGGCGGGTCCTTGCCGACCACGGCATCACCAAGGAGCACCTGCACTCGTACAGCCGGCAAATCACGACCGAGCCGTACATGGTGCAGACAGATGTCGGGCGCCTCATCGGTGATTTCGAGAGGTACCTCGAGACTCTCCGCAGCGTGCACGACGCCCTCGACCTGCAGCTTGCTCTGGACAGATCGCGGTGGTGCATGGATTCGGGTCTGCAGGCCAAGGTTTTGGACGCTCGAAATGGGTACGGAAAAAATGGGTACAATGCCCAACAACAAATGTTGTCCCAAACCAACAGCGGCCGCTGTTGGACAGGCGGCCTTCTGTCTCGAATGGACACAGGCCGCTGCGGCGCGGACAGCGAGTCCTGTTCAAAGTGAACAGAAACTGCTATTGGGCATTGTTCCCATTCTTTCCGTACCCATTCGGTCGTCCCCAAAGGTGCAGGCTGTCGCCGACATGGGGGGCACTGGCTACAAGAACTTGGACGAGGGCCACGGCAAGCTCATGAGCATCGCGCGTGCTCGCGAGGACATCCTCGCCATCCTCAACAAGAGGGACACCGACCCGAGCGTGATCCGCCAGCTGCTGGTCATCGACTACACCCTCGAGACCCAGCAGGGCGTCCTGGTCCAAGGCATGGCTGACGAGAAGCGGCTGGGGAATCTATGCGAGCAGCTGAAGGTCCTGCTTACTTCCCTGGTGGGCCACATGCCCACCGAGGACGAGCTCCAGGCCCTGCTGGCAGACTGGACGCAGCTGTCGCCCGCATGCGCGCAGCAGAGCTGGAACAGCGTCACCCAGAGCGCGCTGCTCCTGAAGGCCATGACCGACCGCATAGGCCGGATCATCGGGGAGCTGTCTGATCATTACCAGACTTTCATGGGGCCCAAGGCGGCTTTCCTTGGGGAAGCCATCGATGCCCCGAAGCACGCCATCGATGTGTTCGTCGACGAGGTGCTGCGCGGCACCGCGCTGATGGCGATCAGCCTGGTGCTGCAGCGGATGGAGCCGGTGCTGCGAGAATTGGCACACCTGCCGCCGTGGCAGATGATCTCCACGGTGGCGAAGCCGATCCAGGGAGAACTCAAGGTGATCGACAAGATGCTACATATGCAAGACAAGGTATTCGACACCCCGACGGTCCTCCTGAGCGGGGCCGTGAGCGGCGAGGAGGAGGTCCCCGACGGCGTCGTGGGAGTGCTGGTGCGCAGCGCCAAGGAGGCCCCAGACATCCTGTCCCACTGCGCCGTCCGCGCGCGCAACTTTGGCGTGCTCTTGGCGACCTGCTTCGACCCGGCCATCTCCGCCGGGCTGGCGGCGGATTTCGAGGGCAAGTGGGTGGAGGTGACCTGCAAGCCCGACGGGTCTCTCTCCGTGCGGGCCGCCGAGCGGCCCGCCGCCGACGGCCAAGCGGACGCGGCCAAGGCCGCGGAGGCGGACCGGAGGGCGGCCGAAGCCACGAAGGTGAAGATGAACCTCACCGACACCCTGGGCTGCAAGTGGACGGTGCGGCCGGACGAGATGAACAGCACGAACGTGGGCTCCAAGAGCGGCAATTTGGCGCTGCTCCGGCCGCGCCTGCCGAAGGACATCCTGACGCCCCAGGCGGTGGCCCTCCCGTACGGCAGCATGCAGAAGGCCCTAACAGACCCGGCGAACAAGGACGCCGTGCTGCCGAAGCTCACGCAGGTGCTTGGGAAGTTGCAGCCCTCCACCCGCAACGAGGACGCCCAGGCGATCTTCGAGGAGGCGCAGGCGCTGGTGGCCGCCATGAAGTTCCCTCCGTCCCTCAAGGAGGCGCTGCTCTCGCAAATGGCGGAGGTGGGCAAGCAGGACGGGGAGGCGAGGCTGACGAAGCTGTTCCAGGCCGGCGACGCCTGGGACGCCATCAAGGGCGTCTGGGCTTCCTTGTTCGCCATAAGGCCATGGGTCTCTCTGGCGAAGGCGGGGCGCAGCTTCCATGACCTGAACATGGCCGTGCTGGTTCAGGAGCTGGTGGAGGCCAGGTACGCCTTTGTGCTCCACACGGTGAACCCGTTCACTCACGACAAGGACGAGCTGTACGGGGAGTTGGTGGCGGGACGTGGCGAGACTCTGGTGGGCAACTACCCCGGACGTGCGCTGAGCTTCGCAATGAAGCGAGGAGAGGAGCCTCGCGTGCTGTCCTTCCCGAGCAAGAGTGTGGCCCTGCACACGCAGGCGACGCTCATCTTCCGGTCGGATTCCAACGGCGAGGACCTGGAGGGGTTCGCTGGGGCCGGCCTCTTCGAGTCCGTGTGCGCGGAGGAGGACAAGGGCGGCTTCCAGCGGCTTCACAGATTGCCGATCATCACCGACGCGGCCTATCGTCAGAAGCTGCTGAAACGGATTGCCGAGGTTGGTTGGACTACGGAGAAGGCCTTCGGTGGCGCCCCGCAGGACATCGAGGGTTGCGTGGACGTTGGGGAACGCATCTACATCGTCCAGAGCCGGCCACAGGTATGAGCTAGGCACGCGAGCCAATCGCCAGGAAACTGGTCGTGAGGCAGATGTGTCCTGGGGTTTTGGCCCGTTTTCCGGCTCTGGGGCCGAGATGGCCACAATTTTTTAGGGCGCTGCGGGTTTTATCACATTGCAGCGTGTAGACACGGTTTCCTCACACGACGTTGCGGTGCAAGCCCCCATGCTGCGTTTCGAGAGACTTGGAGACTTCTAGAGGGCACCCGGAGGGGCTCCAGACGGCCCAAGTGGGCACCAAGACAGCCCAACAGGGCCCCAGACCACCCCAGAACAGCCCCAAGAGGCTCCCAGGATTGCCCAGAGGGACCAAGACGGCCCCAGAGGGCCCCAAGAAGTCCCCCAACACGGCTTGAAAACGGCCTCTAGAGACCCCGAAAAGGGCCCACTCGGGACCTTGCATCAGTACGGCGACGGTCAGAAAATCAATATGTACATATATCTACACACACACACACTTCCAGGCATACATACATACATGCATAAATGCATGCATGCATGCATGCATGCATACATACATACATACATACAGGCAGACAGGCAGACAGGCAGACAGGCAGACGGACAGACCGGCGGACACCCATGCATGCATGCATACATACATGCATACATGTATCCATACATACATACATACATACATACATACATACATACATACATACATACATACATACATACATACATGCATACATGCATACATGCATACATGCATACATGCATACATGCATACATGCATACATGCATGCATTCCTGCATGCATACATGCATACATGCATACATGCATACATGCATGCGTGCATGCATACATACATGCGTGCATGCATACATGCATACCTGCATTGGCCCCTAACACCATGCACCCTGGTCTTTGAACTTTGGCATGCAGGCGGAAGGGCAGGAAGGTGAAACAGACAATTTAGCGATGACGCCTTGTTGCCTTTTTCCGACATCGCCGTTATACTCATGTGATTCGTTATGTGTCCTTCATGGTTCCTCTTCCTCTTCCCCCTTCTCGCCCTACCCTGCGAATTATTCCCCATCCTCCTCAGCTCCTTGGCGAGCCTCTCGGAGGCCTCACGAAAGTTTTGAATGGCTTCTTGGGGCCTTCTGGAGGCCTCCTGGGCGCCTTCTGGGGTCTATGGGGGCTTCCTCGGACCATCCTGCTTCCAACCGCGGTCTCCCTGAACGACCGGGTCACGAGTTTAAATGCTTCGGGGGGCATCTTGGGGTCTTCTTGGGCCGTCATGGAGCTCTCTTCGGGTTATCTTGGAACCCTTTTGTTCCGTCTTGGGGCTCTCCTGGACTGCCTGGAAGCCCTTTCGGATAGTTCTGGGCCGATTTTCGGGCCCCCTCGGCGGTCTCGGACGCCCCGAAGACAGAAGAACAGAGCATTTTCAAAATCATTCAACAATCATTGAAAATCAATGTTCTTCTGCGTGTCGAAAGCCTCTTGGGGGTCTTCTTTGGGTCGTCTTCGGGCGTCTGCTGAGTGTCTGGGGCCTCTTGGGCCGTTCGGCCGCCCTCCTGACCGAGTTGGGCCCGTGCTTCCAGGAGCTGCGGAAAGCTTGGGGGGCCTCCTGCAGGGGCGTCCAGGGGCCCCCCAGGGCCACGGATCCAGTGGTCCGGTTTTGGAGAGGGGTCACCCCAGGTTCGCAAACAGATGGGAAGAGGAGCATATAGATACAGATATGAATATGATATGTACATACCTATGCATGTACATATACAAATACCGATGCATAAACATATACAGAAACACATACATATACATGTACAGTTACATCTACACTTACATTTACATACACACATACATGCATGCAAACGTATATGCATAAATGTAATACCTAATGCATTTGTATGTGTATACGTGTGTACGCATGCATACCCACCCACCTACCTACCTACCTACATACATACATGTATACAGACATACATGCATTCGGGGCGGACACTCATAGACAATGCAGAGGCTGCGCTCGGCGGACTACACGGTCGGAGGAAGGCCCAGACCTCCGACGCCATCATCATCGCACGGCGCGGGCCCTGCTCTGCGACCACCCTATCGAGCCTTGCCCGACCACCCTATCGAGCCCTGCCCCTACGGGTCCAATCGGCGCCAGGGCCTCGAACGCCCCCGCTGGGGCCCACTCGGCTGCAGACACCCTTCGAACTCGGACCCCCAGCAGGTTTCTTTGAAATCTGACGTGCCAGGGGTAGGGTTCGCGTGTGGCTGCCTACCTGCAGAGCGCCCATCCCCATCCCAGGAGCGCCCCCTTGCCATGGACTGCTTCTTAGCGGGCGCACGGGCCCGAAAGCGGCTTGGCTGAAGTGGCTTGGGAGTTTCCTCGGGCCATCGTGGGCCGTATTGGGGTTGCTTGGGCATGGCTTGGGGTTTTCTTGGGCCGTCTTGGCGCCTTCTGGGGATCGTCTTGGCCTTTGTAGGCCTTCCTGTACGGCAAGACTACAGAATCGACCTTTCAGGGAGAGGCAAAGAGATGGAAGGTTTCACACGTTGACGCACCCCACAGTGTCAACGAATTCTTTCGCGAAGCGGGAGGTCTAGACAGCTCTGCAGCGTGCCTAAGTGGGCCACCCGAGCCCCAAGGAGCCCCCCAAAGCGTCACGAGACCCGCCAACAACATCGGAGCCAGCATCAGCCAGGACCAGCCAGCAGGAGCAAGTACGGGCAGCAGGACGAAGCAGCAGCAAGCAGCAGCAGCAGCAGCAGCAGCAGCAGGAAACAGCGGCAAGTAGTGGCATGCAGCAGTGGCAGCGATCATCAACCTGTTGCAACCAACAGCAGCAGTCAGCAGAGAGCAGCAGGCAGCAGCAGCAGCAGCAGCAGCAGCAGCAGCAGCAGCAGCAGCTCGTGGCAGGAGGTGCGCTGAAAGCAGCAGCAGGTAGCGGGAGCAACCAGCGAGCACCAGTTTGCAGCAACAACCAGGAGCAACAACCAGCGGCAATCTGCAGCGCCGGGCAGCTCCAGGAAGCAACAGCAAGCAGCAGGCATCAGCCAACGGCGGCAGGCAGCAGCAAAGAGCAGCAGAAAGAGGCGGCACGCAACATCGAGGGACAGCAGGTGGCATGCCTAATCAGCAGACAGCAGCCACTGGCAGAACATGGAAGTCGGAGTGGCAGCACATGGGCGACGCAGAAAACAGGATCATGTGCGTCGGCATTCGCGCGAAAACCTCCCGCGTAAGGCCGCGCGTAAGCGCCCTCGTTTCCAATATGGCGTGCCGCGCTGGCGGCCCGCGTAAGCCACTACGCAAAGTCGTTATGCAATCTCGCTCAAGAGCCGTTTGTGATCGCCGCTCATGCGGCAGCGCGGAGGAGCGAACAAAAAGAACTAGCAGCAGTCAATAGTAGACGTCAGCAGGCGGTCGCAGTTGGCAGTTTGCAGCAGAGATGCAGCGGGGAGCAGCGGCAACAACAGCAGCGAGCAGCATCACCGAGCATCAATCAGCAATCAGTCGCAAGCATCAGCAAGCAGCAGCATGCATCTCAAATGTATCAGTTGTTCCCGTTGTTCCCAGAAAGGGATGTTCGAAAGCACGAAGCGGCTGACGCTTAAGTAGTTCGGAGAACGCTTGGCGCCCAGGAATTGGGAAGATGACGGGAAGCGCGAAGCGGCTCTCGTTCCGATTTTTGTTAAAGATAGAGAGGAGGGACAGAGCTCTCGGGATTACCGATCCATCGGGAGGTCGAAGTACGACGGGAAGTTCGGGTCGAGTCACATTTGGACTACGTGGAAGAATGGGCGTTCGAAGAATAGAGCATTTGGATGTGTTGTATTCGGCATGTAGGGCTCGGGGTGGTTTCAAATACGTCCCCAAAGGGCTCCAAGACGACTCAACATTGCCCAAGGAGGCTCTCAGGACGTCAAAGGCGGTTTCGAATAGAGTAGAAGAGGCCCCAGGAGGCCCACAATAGGCTTCAAGAGAGGCTCTACAACGCTCCAAACTTATCACATGTTGCCCAAAAATGTCGCCAATACTGCTCAAGAGGATTTCCGGAGGAGCTCAAGACGGCCCCAAGAGAGCCCCAAGATGGTCCATGGTGGCGCCAGAGCAGTCCAAGAGGGCCCCCAAAGGACCCTAAGATGTCCCGAAACGGCTCGAGAGGACCCGAGGATACAGCAAGCACGTCAAATAAGATCATGGCCTGCCAGCAGGTGCCTACGGACCTTCCCTGCTCCTAATTGGCCCTGGGGACCCGCAGAAGCACTTGGGGCACTTCAGGAAGCTCAGAGATCGTCGACACGCCTGCCTCCTGATTCCTAAGGGGAACAAAAGGTAACATAAACATAAAAACTCGGAGGTCCGCGCGGACCTCCGAGTTTTTCTGTTTATGCCACTGTTTGTCCCCCTATTCCTGACAGCGGAACCTCTCCTCGTGCGCGTCTGCCGCAGTCCCCGCGGGGCCCCCCCCCCAAAAAAGGCGGAGCCTCCGAGAGAGGGCACGACGAGGGCCCCCCCCCCCCGCGGCAGCGCACAGAGGCCCGCCCGAGATCGGGCCCCGGGCGCGCGCGGGAGGCCGCCCCCCTCGGGACGGCCCGGGGACTTGGCATCGCTCGGACGTGTGCATTTTTTTCCTCGGCGGGGACCGTCGAGGAGCATCCTTGATCACTTGGCGAAGAAACCACGCACGAAACCGAAAAAAGCACAGGGAATGGACGTCCGAGCGGTGGCGAGGAGAGGGCCTCCGGGGAGGCGGGCGGAGACGGGCCGGGAGGCCTCGGGGGAGCGAGCTCGGGAAGGGGGCCCCGCAGAGGCCCGCGCGGGTGCCCGCAGGCCGAGCTTGCGAGAGAGGCGCTGGGCAGTGGATGTGTTGTTGCTTTCGGGGAGGGTGCTGCTTTTCCGGGGAATGATCACACTTGTTCTTTATCACACTTTCGGAGAAGGTGCTGCTTTCAGGGAAGGTGCTCCTTTCGGGGAATGATCATACCTGCTCTTTGTCCCAGTTGTTTGTTGCATCGCACTTGTTTTTTGGGTTATCACGCTTGTTCCGTTTGTTTCCCGCACTCGTCTGCTTCTCAGGGCCATCGGCTGCACATGGCGCTGTGGGTGCTCAAGGGTGCCCCGAGTCATCCAAAAGTCGCCAGACGAGGGTTCCTAGACGGGCGGAGGAGGAGGAAGATGGAAGACGGGAGGCGGAAGAAGGACGAGGGCGAGGATGAGGACAATGTTCAGAGGAAGAGGGGAAGGGGAAGAGGCGGGGGAAGGGATGAGAGCGAGGATGAGGAGGAGGCGGTGACGCCGATGGTTGGCCTTGCCCCCAACTGTTCCTTGGGCGTCGTAGCGAGGTGCGCGTAACGCAGTGCGCACGGATCGCGCGCGAATGTTCCTGGCACGCGTTTAGCTCAGTATGCTTGCACATTGAAATCGCACTGAGGGGCTTGCCGGGGTCGAAATGCCGTGAAAATTACCACATGCCAGTTCATCCGGGTCAGCTCGAAAATTTGCCAAGCGTGTGACGGAAGCGTCGGCGGAGTGCTTCGGCCAGGCGCAGATGGGCGCAGGAATGGCGAGTCGTCACATCGGCGGCCTCGCTGACGTCCGGCACGAGTATGGATAGTTCCCCACGAGCGGCCTCGAGACTCTTCCTGCGGCGCTGCTCGTCGACTGGGCTCTGCGGCCATGTCGGCGACCGCCTCCCCGCGCCTCCGCAGCCAGCAAGGGCAGCTGCGAGGAGCCTTGCTTGAGAGTGGGAAGCTTCGTCTCCCACAGTAGCCGTTTCTCTTCCGTGCGGGAGCGGGCTCGTCGCCAAAAAAGCACGGCGAGCGTCTACACTCAGGTTGACAGAGTTCGACGTGCCAGGCGGTTGCTGTCGCATGCGCAGCCTTGCCACATCACGCGAAGGGCGCACCCCACAGGCCCGCAGGCATTTGGGCCCAAGCCTCGCAGCCTCGAGGAAGCCCGTCTGCTCCAGCGGTCGCTCCAGCATCGCCGCCCTCCGCAGGCAGGCGCGCATGCCGGCGCCGCGCGCAGGCGCCCGGCGCCCTCGCCCCAGGCGCTGGACGCCGACGTGGCTCCTCGCCCTCGGCGGGGCTGCAGCGGCAGGGCTGCACCACCGCGGGGAGCCTGCCGCTGCCTGCCGCCCGCTGCCGCCCCGGGCCGCCGCCGAGGGCGGCCCGTGCGCCGCGGCCGGCCGCGGCACGCCGGCGAGGCAGCGCGGCGTGGCGGACAGCACGCGGCGTCTCGGCGGCGCGTGCCGCGCCGAGGCGCTGGCGGTGCGACGCGAGGCCGGGCTGCGCGCGGAGCAGGTCGCGGGCGGAGAGCAGATCCGTATCCCCGGCCCCGCGGTGTCTTCGCGGGGGACGGTGCCCGTACGACCGCGTATCCTCGGGATCGCGCGTCCGGATGCAGACCGCGAGGGCACGGATATGGGTACGTTCGCCGCTCGTGAGGAGACCCTGGAGGTAAGCGCGGGCTCCTCGTGGAAGCTCGCAGAGGCCGTGGAGCACAGGGACGAGCTACTCGGCTCTGGGCGATGGGGCCCCGCGCAGCTGGGGCTCTTCGCGGAGGAGGTATCCCACGGAGGGGCGCGGCGTTTCTTCGTGGACACTTACGCGGGCTTCAGCCTGCGAGTCGCGTCGCAGTTTGGGGGCCATCTCTACGAAGTGATACAGGAGGGCAGGCCGTGCTGGCTCTACTTCGACCTGGAGTTCCCGAAGCACTCGAACCCAGGGTTGGACACCGACCACGTCATGAGGCAGTTCCGCCAGGCGCTTGCGGACTTTTGCACGAAGGTGGAGCTCCCGTACGACGAGTCCCTCACGGTTGTCCAAGACTCGTCCACAGAAGCGAAGTTCTCCGCACACGTGATCGTGAAGTCACTCGCGTTCCCAGACAATGTCCAAGTTGGAGTGTTTGTTCAGGCCTTCCTCGCGTACGCGAGGGAATCGAAGGATTCCAGCAGTGCTTCCGGAATAAGCACCGATCTGCTATTTATCCGCAAAGACCTAGAAGATCACCAGGAGACAAAGTCGATCGTCGACACTTCTGTGTACACAAAGAACCGCTGTTTCCGTGTGCTGTACCAATCAAAATACGGCAAGAACGTCACGTTGACCTTGCAAGATGGCGCGAAGGTGGTCCACGAGTCGGATCTGCCCGCCTGCCAAGTGCTCAGGACGTTGGTCTCTTTTGTGCCAGAGGGCACTGCCGTGCGCGAAAATACAAACATACCCGACTTCATGGAGCATCTTGCCCATCTTCAATCTGTTCGCGAGCCATCTCGATGTGTTGATGTGGATGCGGAGATGCAGCCGCTCATACACTGGCTAATCGAAAAGTGGGACGACGAAAGAAGAGAATCTGAGCAGAATGTCGCTGCACAACTCCCCACTGCCGTAGAAAATGTAAAAACGGTGAGGAACGGCAGATCTGTTGTTTACGAAGTTACGCTTGCCAACAATCGCTTCTGCCTCCAGAGGGGAAGGTCCCATAAAAGGAACGCGATATTATGAAGGCCTTACGGCTGGTGCCGCCGACCCTGAAGGGGGACAACGACGACGACGACGACGACGACGAAGAAGACGACGACGACGACAACGATGGCGGCGGCGACGGCGGCGGCGGCGACGACAACGACCACGACGCTGACGCTCTGGAGCCCTTCTTGGGGCTCTTCTGGGTCGCCATGTCGGTAGGGGACCCAGCCCCAACTCCAGCCCGGGCCCCGGTCCCAGGCCCCGGTCCAGGTCCCGGCCCCGGCCCAGGCACCAGCCCCAGCCTTTGCCCCCCGTCTCCACAGAGGGGGCCGCCCAGGGGGGGGAAGCACGACCCCTGAGGCCCCCCTCCAGAGAACCCCCCGGACTTCCTCCCGGACCCCCCAGACTCCGCCCACCCTGGAAGCCCCCCCAGGGACCCCCCCAGGGACCCCCTCCTTGGGACCCCCCCCCCTGGGACCCACCGGCAGGAAAGGGAACAAAGGGAAGGGCTTCCCTTCGAATCGATTACGACGTTGTTTGATTTACGTTTGGTTGGATCGCTCGAGGAGGAGGGCCCAGGGAAAGGAGGGGAGCAGGACGATGACAACGACGACGACGACGACGACGACGACGACGACGACGACGACGACGACGACGACGACGACAACGAGGACGACGACGTCGACGACGACGACCCAAACGGAAAAGCGTCTCACATATGCCGAAGGGTCGGCGGATTTCTCAGAGTGGACGCGAAGCGAGGGGTCTTCGAGCAGAGGTGTGTCGACCACGTGGACTGCCCCAACAAGCTCCGCTGGAAGTCTAGAAGAGAGTTCCCAATCCCTATTAATTTGCTGCCTGTTCCGTGATCGTAGCCATCTGTTTTCGCAAAGAGCGCGTGGGAAGGTTTCCTTGCTAGCAGGATGCGTTTGGGCCCTGAACTGCGCAGATCGATCTTCATTCGCCGTGTACAGAAGTATCGGGGAACGCTTGCGAAGTCAGTGGGCTCGCGTTGTGATGGGGCACACGCGGCAAGCAACATACCAAAACACAATCTGCTCTTCGAGACTGATCTGCTATTTGTATTGTTCCGTGGAGGCTTCTGGAGGCCCCTGGAGGTGGTCCCCGGTGCCTTCTGGAGGCCCCTGGAGGCCCCCAGAGGATTCCGCATGTCTATACAGGTTTGGAAACGCTCACGCTCAAAAACCTAAAGCCGTTACGAAAAGTCCAGACACGGTTGAAAACAAGCATAGAGTCGCCGACGACGACGATAATGGCGACGGCGAAGACGACAATGGCGGCGACGTCGACGACGGTGGTAACGACGACGACGACGACGACGACGACGACGACGACGACGACGACGGCGACGACGACGACGACGACGACGACGACGACGACGACGACGACGACGACGACGACGACGACGACGACGACGACGACGACGACGACGACGACGACGGCGGCGGCGGCGGCGGCGGCGGCGGCGGCGGCGGCGGCGGCGGCGGCGGCTGTGACGGCGACGCGGCGCCGCCGATGGGAGGGGAGACGTGCGGGGGGGAGGGAAAGAGGGGAGCGAGAGGAGGGGAGGGAGAGCTAAAAGGAGCGAGGGAGCGAAAGGAAGGGAGGGAGCGAAAGGAGGGAGGGAGCGAAAGGACTAGGGAAAGAGGGGAGCGAAGGGAGGGGAGGGAGAGCTAGAAGGAGCGAGGAGGAGGCGAGCCCCACGGGGATCGGCTCGGATCGGCTGTCCACGAGGGAGGGTCAGCGCCCCTACCGCCAGGCAAACGCCGAGCCCTTCCGGGTTCGACGGTCGAGGTTGGCCCGTGTAGGGGGCCAGGAGAGGAGCGAGGAGGAGGGCAGTCCAACGGGGAGAGGCAGGGATGGGCTAGAGAACTAAACGGACTACACAAACAGAAAGGCTTGGAGATCAGCGCAGATTTCTCGGATCGGCGCTGGGGCCGGCGCCTCTGGCGCCGTCCTTGGCGCGCTCCGCTCTCCAGGGAGGGGGCTCCAGCGCCGATCCGAGAAATCTGCGCGGACCTCCTAGCTTTTATGTTTACGTCAGTGTGTGCCCCTTTAGGGGAGGGGACGGGGCAGTCGAAAGGGCGGGGGAGGGACCTCGACACCCGACGTCATGAGTTTCTTCAAAGCGTGGACTCCTGGTCAGAGCGGCCTGACCGACCCCCAGCAGACTGGCACGTTCTGCGACGGACCCCATGGCATCGCTCCAAGAGATGGGCGGGCGGCCAGAAGGGAGCCTCAAGAACGAGGGTGTCGCCATGCAAGGGACTGGAGGAGGAGACAGGAGCAAGAGGAAGGAGAAAGAGGCACGATGAGGGGAAGGAGGAGGAGGAGGAGGAGGAGGAGGAGGAGGAGGCGGAGAAGGAGGCGGCAAGAGGAGGTGGAGGAGCAGGCAGGAGGAGACAGGATCAGGAGACAGGAGGCAAGAGAAGAACAGAGGAGGAGGAGGAGGAGGAGGCATCATAAGAATGCATGGGTCGGAGGCAGCGGCGTGGAAGGCGGGATAAGGAGGAGGATGAGGAGGAGGAGGAAGATGAGGAGGAGGAGGAGGAGGCAGGAGGGTACAGGAGGCATAAGGAGGGGAAGGAGGCAGGATACGAGCAGGGAAGTAGGAGAAAGTGGGAGCGGAGGCAAGAGGAAGAGGAGCCAGCCAGAAGGAGGCGGCATGTAGATAGTGTATAAAGTGGAGGCAGGAGGAACAGAAGGCAGGAGGAGTAACGAGGAGGAGGAGGCAGGAGGAGGAGGAGGCGTGAGGAGGCAATATGATGAGGAGATAGGAGAAGGCAAGCAGGAGGAGGAGTCGGAATCGGAATGACAAAGATGTGTCATCACGGTTATCGCATGCCAGGAGGAGGAAGGATGAGGATGATGATAAGGAGGTGGAGGAGGAGGAGGAGGATGCAGGAGGCAGGAGAAGCGCCTCCACAACCACAACAACCACAAGCACAAGCATGAAGATGGCGATTATCCTCATGCGAACTGATGAGTTTCTCATGTGGGCCGCTGCCGTAGGAGGACTGACTTCGCGGGGATGGATGGATTGCCACAGGCGTTCGAGATATTCACAGCTCCACGAGGCGGCTTGCGTGGGCCCAGGTGGAGCGAATGGATCCATGGGGAAACGTATGAACGAACGCGAGGTCCACTCGCCCGAGCGACTCCAAAGAAGGGGTCCGAAAGGGGGGACTTGCTCAGGGGAGAAGCACGGACCCAGAATCGACGACACACCGCCAATAGATCGGCGACAGGCCTCCGATGGGAAAGCCCCGCGTTCCTGGGCTAGTTGGGGCACCCAAGCCACCATCTTCGAGGAACGGGCGGTTGGGGGTCTATGCGTACACCCTTGAGCCAGTCTCCCATCACAGCGCCCCTGACGACCGACCCCTTCCATGACGAGCCTCCTCCTCAGCCTCCTCCTGCCTCCTCCTCCCTCCCCCTCCCCCTCCCCCTCCTCCTCCTCCTCCTCATCATCATCCTCCTCCTCCTCCTCCTCCTCCTCCTCCTCCTCCTCCTCCTCCTCCTCCTCCTCCTCCTCCTCCTCCTCCTCCTCATCCTGGCCCGACGCTCCCCCCCTCCCGCTCACCCTCCTCCTCTTCCTCATCCTCCTCCTCCTCCCCCTCCTCCTCCTCCTCCTCCTCCTCCTCCTCCCCTCCTCCTCTTCCTCCTCCTTCTCCTCCTCCATTTGCGCGGCACCAGGGGTCCCGAGTCCAGAGGGGTCCACGGAGCGCGGGCGCGCCCCGCCAGCCGGCCTGCGTTCGCCGCCGCCGCCGCCGCTGCGCAGCGCCCCCCCGCCGCCCCGGCTGCGCCTGCCACCCAGCAGCGCCTCGCCGCTGCCAGCCCTGCTCCCCTCAGCGTGTTCTGGCTCGCGCCGACCTGACCGCAGCTTCACGCCGACTTGGCAGGTGTCTCGGGCAGCCCCTGGCCCGCCGCGGCAGCTAGCGGGCCGCCCCGCGGCGGCCTCGGGGCAGCCGTCGGCCCGCGCGCAGCCGCCGCTCAGCCGCCGCGGCAAGCCACCCCGCGCCCGCGGCGCGGCGTTCCCGCCCGGGCTGCAGGCGGCCCGCCTTGCGCTCAGCTGTCCGAGCGGCCACACCGAGGCGTTGTGCGCCTCGGCGCTGGCCCGCTGCAGCGCGGCGGCCAAGCTCTGGCGCGCCGCCGAAAGCGCGGCCGCGTCGCCGGCCGCCCAGGTGCGCAGGAGGTCCTGCGCCTCGCGCCTAGGCCAGCCTAGAGTCCCGATCGCGAACGCGCACAGAGCCGCGCCAGGGTAACGGCAGTGTTTGCGTTCGTCTGCCGCGGCCCCGTTGCGCCAGGCCCAGCCCCGCCCCGCATGCGTCGCGGCCCTGGCTGCATCTTCCTCATCCTCCTCCTCCTCTTCTTCCTCCTCCTCCTCCTCCTCCTCCTCCTCCTCCTCCTCCTCCTCCTCCTCCTCCTCCTCCTCCTCCTCCTGCCGCCGCCGCCGCCGCCGCCGCCGCCGCATCGATTCTCAGGTCGGTCCGCACCTCGCCGCGCCGCATCGATTCTCAGGTCGGTCCGCACCTCGCCGCGCGCAACCTTGCCCGGCGCCCATGGCAGCCAGAGCACGTGGCGACGGCTCTTGTGGTCCGCCTCCGCCGTACCCCAATGGGGTAGTGTTGACTCTACCGACGAAGAGGGGGAGGAGGGGGGAGGGAGGTAGTCCGTGCGTGGAGAAAGGAAAGGAGGGAGAGGAGTCGCCGTGGGCCTCAAGAGGGGAGGAGTGCAACCGTTTACGTCGTAGGTCACTCCCCCCCGATTGTAACTAGGTAACCCTCCGGGGACCGAGTGGAACGTCTTGTCAAGGTAGACGGAGAATTCGGAGTGTATGATGTCGACGATATCGCAGTAGTGTGTACAGCTTCTTCTTGGCGTCAGTCCGTACGCCGGCGTTTCGTGCCCTGTGTAGCCAGGAGCGGTGAGTCCTCGTAGATCTTCACCGACGGCGGGTAGTTGATGTCGTTTGTGTCAGGTACTATTGGGTGTTCCTGGAAGTCGCTGTACTG